GGTTGCGATCCATTGCCGGACACGAAAAAAGACAAAAAGAAAAAAAAAAAAAAAAGAAAAAAGAAAGGTAATAAACTTACCAAGTAGAATGTTCTCCCAAAGGAAAAAAAGAAAAAAAAAAAAAAAGAAAAGCTTATGACAGTTTTTCTTTAAGACAGATGTTTAAATAGCACGCTTCTTTTAGATCATTTAACAATAATTTGGCAGCAGAACAGCCTATGGTCATAACACATAATCGCTTACAAAAGACAAGCAACAGATACATAATTAACAATATACTTTTAATATTTTTAAAAGTATCTTTAAGTTGGTGCCTAGTGGCATTTAACAAGATTTTTGTATTCAGTGTGAAAAGATTTAGAACATAAACTGACACTAATAATGAATATAATTTCTCTGTGCCATGCAGAAGTCAACTTTTTACATATCATCACTCCTAAATAGTTCTAATTAAAATCCAAACTGTTTCCATTTTTGCATCATTGTCATTCTTTGGCAAAGGATTCAAAATAGCCATGGGGTAATATACAACTGTTCACTTATGGTCTTCATTTTTGCAAAATAAGTATGTTTTGTAAAAGGAATCTGCACTGTGCCTTGTTTATACTAAATAATTATAAATAAGCAAAAATATTATGACTTTTTTGACTAATCTACTCCTAAAGCTTTGAGTTGCCGTTCGATCTCTTCATCGGAGATCGTAGCCTTAGAAGTAGAGGCAGACGGTAAACTTCGAGCAGCTGATGGAGCTTTGGCCATCTATATTAAAGAAAGGAAAAGAGGAAAACAACATGCATTAGCAAACATTTGCACTAGGACATAAGGATGTGCTGCAAAGAGATTTACTTTTGAAACAAATATAAAAACATGCACCTAATAGTAAAGGACAACTTAAAACAATTAAGTGACAAAAGTGGTAGGAACTATTTCTGAGAGAAGATGTTCATACCTTTCCAGAGATTTCAATTCCAATTTCATCAAGAACTTGATTCACAATATCCTGGCTTTCTTCTTCATCATCAGAGCCCTCAAAGATGTCATCAATTGTGTCATTGACTGGGGAGGGGTAGAGGAGGAAACAAAGAAGTTACTTTCAAACAAGTTTCAGGTTAGATTTACCTTTTTAGAAGATAGTCCAACTATTTTGTATATTGCAGAAGGCAAATTTAGGTGAACCAACAAAACAGAAAAATCACTTTCTAATGTCATTGTGTCAGTGAAGTAGATTGATAAGTACATTTTTGAGCCACTAAACCTGAAATAATGTTCATTTCAATATAAATTATCCTATAGTAAAACAAGTCTACTCTGATTTTAAAAAAATATATATATATCTAATAGATATAAGAAACTGCTAGTAAATAAATATGATTAATTCAAAGATGAGAAAACTAAATTTCATTACAACTTATTAAACTTACTCATTTCTTCAGTCATTTCCATTTTCATGTTTTCCTTCTGGAAATTTTGCATTGTTTGTAAGGTCTTTTGTGGATCCATCTTCTTGTTAACTGCCTGCATGGTCTTTAAATATATGAAAAGATTCATGTTAGCTACATAATCACAAAACTTTTACTATGGAATAAGTCTAAAAGGAACACATCGAATATAGATACACTTTTAAGGGATACACATATTGCCATAATCAAACACAGAGTGTTAAGTATTCCAGGAAAAAAAATGAAATACTCATTTGGAAACCATCTGCTTAACATCTGTATAATATAGACCAGTGTGAAAAACCTCATCTGAACAGTAGGCAAAAAAATCATGTAAAAAAAAACAAACAAACATAAAACCCACTGCTATTCAAATGAGAAAACTAAATTTACATGTTACATGGCAAGCAGGTAACGTCTTAATTTAAAAAAATTAGAGTATATACTAGCACACATGTAATCTAATGACACATTTTAAACGATGATTTAAAGAAATTTTAAAAATTGTGCAAAAATATGTGAAAAGAATTCTCTCACATTATAAACTCATATAATTTATTTCATAAAAGGAGACTAATGCTATCTAGTATGGAAAAAATTATATGTATAAAACACAATATATATAAGATATGTATATATGTTTTTATGTATTATATACCTAAAATTCAGTATATTAAAAGCCACCACACAATAGAAAACATGTTGGTTCCAAAGATATGAAGTAAACTGTCCTTTCTCAGATAATCAGTATTCAAGGCTGCAACCAAGTAAATCTTTTCAAGTATGACACTACATTCTCCCCACTCCCCACTCCTACACCTCTCTCCAGCAGCTTCCATGCTGTTAGTGTTAAAAGCCAAATTCCATAATTTGCCTATTAGCCCTAACACCAACTGAACTCTGCTAAACCAGACAGTCTCATTTGGCACCACTGCCCTCGAGGCACAGTGATCTTTCATTTTCTTAAATGTGTAATAGAGTTTGGATGTGTTGTCCGCTTAAAGCTCATGTGTAAATCTGATTCCCAATGTGACAGTGTTGGGAACTATTTGAGTCATGGGGGCAGATCCCTCATGAATGGATTAATGCTCTCCCGGGGGGTCAGGTAGTGAGTGAGTTCTCACTTTATTAGTTCGCACAAGAGCTGGCTGTTTAAAAAACCCTGCACCTCTCCTCTCTCTCTCTCTTGCTTCCTCTCGCCATGTGATTTGCTTGTACCTGCTGGCTGCCTGCCACTTTCTGCCATGAGTACAAGTAGCCTGAGGCCTCTGCCAGATGCAGCTGTCCCAGAATCATAAGCAAATAAACCTCTGTTCTTTATAAATTACCCAGTTTCAGGTATTCTGTTATAGAAACAAAAAACAGACTAATACAATGTGTTATGCTCTCTCCTGCCATGGGACCTTTACATATACTAGTCCCTCACTTAGAATGCTCTTCTCCATTTGCTTTCACCATCAACACTTCAAATTTTAGTTTACTACTTTCTTTGGGAAGTAGCCTTTGACACATTCAGACTAGAAGAGACACCCTTGTTAAATCTTAGTCACTATAAATAAAATTTTACATTTATTGATGTAAACTAAATTACTTTAATTGTAGCTTACATTATTGATGTAAGAAGTACTAATAACAATAATAATAATGATGATGATGATAGAGTAGCTAACACCTAGTCAAGGGTACTTCAAAAAGTTCATGGAAAGATTCATAATATCTTTCAATTCCATTTTTTCCATGAACTTTTTGAAGTACCTTCATATAATCTTACTCCGTGCCAGGCACTATTCTAAGGACTTTAATGTTAAAGTTAAATGACTTTTAAACTTAACAAAAACATTATGTGCTAGGTATTACCATTATCCCTATATTACAAACGGATACATGGCACAGAAAGGCTAAATAACTTGCCCACGGTCACATAACTACTAAATGAAGTGAATCTGAACCCAACAGTCTGGCTCCAGTGCCTGTGCTTCTCACCAGTATAAATACTGTCTCTCAAATGAGCTGCCTCTTACACTGTAAGCTCCATGAAGGTTATGCCCTTGCCTGGTTTTGCTTTCCATTTCATCCCCATCACTTGTTATAGTTCCTACCAAGAGGACCTGAAGAAATATTTGCTGTGTGAACATATTTCTAAAGAAATTTAAGTAAGAATTGCGACTCAGACATCTCTATATGGCAGGACCACATTAGGTATCTTCTCCTAGCCCTACCACTTGCAGAAAATTGCAAAATCATGAATCTTTCCCCTCAACACTATTGGAAATTTATAGAGCCTTGGTATGTGATCTTCATACACGATCTTTTCCCCAAATCAGACAGGTATTTAGTTCTGTCCATTTGTAAAACCAAAAAAGGAAATCAAATGTTCTTGCCATTAACTGTATTTTTCACTGTGAAATAACTAAGATACATTAAAAATGACTTAAATAAGAAAAACTAAGACTGAAACTTTCTCTATATTTTTAAAGAACATAATGTGTCCCTGTACTTTTTGTATCTCATAAGATGGATGCATTCTACTTTCATGTGCTCTGTTGTATAAAAAGGGGTTACAATTGATCCTTATTATTTGTAGATTTTGATTTGTGAATTTGCCTACTCGTTAAAATTTATTTGTAAGCACAAATCAATACTTGCAGTGCTTTAATGCTTATTCACGGACATGTGCAGAGCGGCAAAACATTTGAGGAACCCAATGTGCGGGCTTCCAGCTGAGGTCAAACAAGGCTATGCTCTGCTTCCTGTCTCATATTTCATATTGTAAATGAGTGTCCTTTTTGTAATTTGTAAATGAGTGTCCTTTTTCTCACTTTTGTGCTTTTTCTTGGTGATTTCACTGTTTAAAATGGTCCCCACACATAGTATAAAAATGCTACCTAGTGTTACTGAGTGAAAGAAGGCCACAATATGCCTTATGGAGAAAATACATGTTAGATAAACTTCGTTTAGGCATGAGTGATAGTGCTGTTGGCTGTGAGCTCAACATTAATCAACAACATATATTAAATATGGTGTACTTAAACAGAAACACACATAAAACAAGGTTATGTATGGATTGGCTGATGAAAATGTGACAAAAGACTCACTGGAACCTAACTCTGTATTTCCTCTAGGAGCAACAAACAGTTGAATATTCGCTATTTCTCTATTCCTGACTTCATAGAACATGACAACCATGAGTAATGGGAATCAACTGCATATACCATTTTCCTAATGTAAACCTGTAGTTTCCTCTGTGGATATTTTTCCTTTTCATATTCATACTCCCCTTTCTCTACATCTAACACCTAGTGATATTTTTTAAGACAGTTCAATGAAGCTCAGCACAGACTGATGTACAAATCTAATAGTGGGTACTTTCTACTGAGACGTAAGCTCTCCCCAATTGAATGTAAACTCTGTGAAAGAAAAGCCTTATCTTAAACCTCTTTTGATTACTCACAGTATTTGCTATACACTGTGAAGCTCATTATTTATTAAATGATTGAGAGGCTCAGAATCTTTTAACCTCTACAGAAGAAACAATGATTATACATAAGGCAGTAAGTTAAACATAAATTCCTGAAAAACATTACCTGATAATGCTTCTGACAGTATTTATGTGTGTGACACATTAATAAAAAATAATCAAGAGGAAACTATTACTCAAAAGTAGTCAGAACTTATAACTTAATACAATAAGAAGCCCAAATTTAAGGGAATTTAAGATTAATTTAATTTAATTTGACAAGGGAAAAAAAATCAAATACTTTTAAGTCAACTTTATAAACTGAGAAGCTACATTTGATCTTGGGAAAATGGAAATGTCCTAAAACAAGAAACTTTATATTAAAACATATCAATAAATACCTAGAAGTACTTGCCTGAATTATTATTATAAATCATTTTACTAAAAATTACACAGATTCTATATCATATATATACCAGGAAGTGATTTTTAAATCTTATTTGAATTTCAATATTTAAATATCTTTGAGAAAACTATAAATCTATGAATATAAAGGTCCTCACTTACTTTTGCTGTGGTAGACATTGCTCCAGCCATCTTCATTTGGGAATTCATCACCTTTGTTTGTGTTGACATAGAAGTGACTTTTGAACTTACAGCAAATGTTCTTGTTTTCTGTTTCCGTAGATGTACAAGCTGTTTGGCTAAAACCCTGCAAGCTTCTTTATTACCAATCTTGGCCATTTTCTTAATTTCTAATTCCTAAGAGAGGAAATGAAAGGAGGGGAACAAAATCACTGAGGGTTATTCTCAATAATTTTTTTCAGAAGATTTAACATACATACACTCTTTCTCCTTAATCATGAAGGGGGAACAGGTTGTCATAAAGTCAAGGAAAAAAATAATAATTTGAGAGGGCCATTTATTCCACCCACCACATGTTTACATGGAAAGGAAAGAACTAGTACCTTCATCGTCAAATCCAAGGCAAATATAAAAAAACAGCACAGACATACAGCCCAGAAGGAAAAACAAAAACAAAAACAAAAACAACTCAATCCAAACTAAGTAGGTGGAAAAAAAGGAACAAACAAAGAATTGGTGGGACAGAGCAAATAAAGAGCAAGGTGGTGGATTTAAAACTAATAATATAGATAATTACATTAAATGAAATGGTCCACATTACACTTCAATTAAAAGGCAGACTATCAGGTTACATAAGAGAGCAAACCCAATTACATGCCATCTCAAGAGACCAACTTTAAATATAAAAACAAAGCTAGGTGGAAGAATGGAAAAATACATACTATAAAAATTTGCAAATCTGTAGTGGCTACATTAATAATAAACTTGAGAACAAGGAGTACTGCCAGAAATAAAAAGGGGCAATTCACAATGATAAAGGAATCAATACATAAAGATATCAAGATAATCCTAAATGTGGATGGATGTCATAACAATGTTTCAAAATATATGAAGTACAACTATTCAATTAACAGAACTGAAAAGAGAAATAGAAAAATATACAGCAGGAAAGATATCAATAAATAACTCCTCTCTTAAGTATACTGCTATAATTGTTACAAGTAGACAGAAAATCTGTAATGATCAGAAGATTTAAAGCTATCACCAATTTGACCTAACTGACATTCATAAGAAACTACATCACCAATAGCAAAATGTACATTCTTTACAAATGTATACTAAACAATAACCAAAATATTCCATTTTTGCATCAGAAAACATGGTTCAATAAATTTAAGAGGATTAAAATCATACAAAGTATGTTAACGTACCACAATGAAGTTAAACTGAAAATTAATAAAGAATACACAAAAAGAAAATTACAAATAAGCAGAAATTTAAAAGTATGGTTCTAAATAAGCCATGGGTTAAAGAAAAAAAAAAAAAACAGAAAATGAGATAGCATTTTGAACATAATAAAATTAAAATTCAACATTAAAATTTGTAAACTGCAGTTAAAACAGTTCTTAGAAGGAAATTACAGCAATAAAGTTTATATTTAAAAAATGAATACCTCATAAGCTTCAACATAAAGTAGAAAAAAGAGAAAATAAAACACAAAGTAAGCAAAAAGATGAAAATAATATCAACAAGAAATCTATAAACTAGGAAAGAAAAACCAGTAGAGAAAATGAATGAAACCAAAAGCTGTGTTTTTTTTTTTAATATTACAAAATATCAAATTGATAAATCACTGATGAAGGAAAAAACTGGGACAGAGCAAGAACACACAAATTACAAATGTCGAGAACGCAAAGAAGGGCATCACTTCATATCCTAAAGATGTTGAAGGATAATAAAACATTATAATCAACAATATGTTATTACATTTTAAAATTTAGTAGAAATGGTCAAAATACTTGACAGACTAAAACTACCAAAGCTCATTCAACAAGACAGATAACCTAACCCACTCTATATCTATTTTTTAAAAAACTTGCAGTTTAAAAACTTATGCACAAAGATAACTTCATTCAAAGATGACTTACTGATGAATCCTATCAAACATTGAAGGAAGAAATATACAAAGCCTTCCAGTAATGAAAAAAGTTAGGGACACCTGCCAACTCATGCTATGAGGTCAGCATTATTACCCTAATACAAAAATCAAATATAAACACTACAAAAATGTGAAACTACAAATCAAGATCTTTCATAAACACAGATACAAATATTCTTAACAAAATTTCAGCAAATTGAAAACACATTAAAAAAAAAAATACATCAGTGCCAAGCAGTGTATATGCTAGGAACAAAACACTGGTTTTTTTTTGAAAATCGATCAATGTAATTCACTATGTTAACAGAAACTATACAATCATTTC